AACTCATCAGTATCGATTTGAACTACGTTACAATGATAACTTTCATATTTCCGCATAATATCCAACCAAGGCGCGTTTGTTGCGCAATTAGCAGATTTTTGTTTAATCTACATATCCCTTCTAGAATAATTTGCGAATAAATGTCGGCTCCTAATAAAATATCAATTTCTCGGCTAATATAAAACTGTGGATCTGCTAATTCAATGTTATTTAAATATGACCAATCGGGTTGTCGGAATGTATAACTAGGAAGATTTTTTGTTAGACTTTTCCTGATATAAACATAAGTGTTAAATGAATAACTTTCATCCATCGAACAACAGTTTATGTTAACCATCCCCTTACAGCTGCTATCCTTGGCACCTATGCCTGTTATTAAACCCTTGCATCTATTACGTGGTAACCCTAATAATTGCTCCGCGTTCTCAGAGATTAATGACACTTGCGATCCCTGATCGATAAGAGCGCGCAATGTTTGATAAGTGCCATCCTTCTTTTGCACTTTGATAATTGCTGTCGATAATAACGTTTCTGGCATTTCATCAGCCTGGGCCACGTGTGTGTTGCTGTCGTGGTGGCTTCGGCTCGGTTTCGAGGTCGCGTCGCCGCGCGAAGTACCTACTGCTGAGTCGCGATTTTGCTTTACACAATACGCTTCGTGAAGTATCGTATTATGATCTTCGTAACATTGGCGGCATGGTTTGTTAGCAATACATATATTTCCGTTGTGGTCAAATAAACATTTTTTGCAGTAATTCAATCTTTCAATTGTTTGCCGCTTACCTACGGGTGTCATTTCTTGAAATTTCTTACAGAAAAATATGCAATGTTCGCTGTTTTTGCATACAGGACAGTTTTTGCTTGAGCGGCATGTAGGTTTATTAATAGAAGATTGAGAAATAGTTTTATTCCCCGAGTATGCTTGCTTATAATTTGATTTTTGATAATTATTGTTAGGATAACTTTTGTTCTGTTGAATGTTATCTTTTCTTTTTGATGATTCCAGGGTAGTAAATTTGCTCTCCAAAAATGATAAAAGATGAGCTAAAACAGGCAACTCTCTTGGTTGTTTAAGAGAAGCTGTATATTCATTGTGTGTTTCTGAATCTAATTTTTGACTCAATAAATATACTAATAATGGGTCCCAAGTGCTGATATCTATACCCATATTTTTGATAGCATTCAAGCATTCCGTAGTAGTGTCATGGATGCGTTTTATAAGGTTAACTGTCGGTTGAGACATTGTAGGCAAATTCATTAGAATACTGACATGCGAATTGAAAATTAGTTTCTGATTGTTAAAACGCTGGTTGAGTATATCCCAGCATACATTATAATTATCCGAACTGATATGCAAGTGCTGGATTAAGCGTTCGGCCTCTCCTCTTAATTTAGTTTTCAAAAACTGCATCTTCTGGGCGTTAGAAAGTGAGCGATTGCTATGAATTATTTCTACAAAAAGATCTTTAAAAGATACCATTGGTGGTAATTTCCACTAAAAACAGGGATGTCGAGTAGCGGAGTTGACTGCTCCCTGTGTTTTTCAGACCATAATTTAGAGTTAATTTGCTTTTTTATATTATTATAAGTTGATTCGTGGAAGAAAAATGTTTGATCATACATTTTATTTTTTCCATCGAGTTCACTATCTAATTCCCAGTGTAGCGCATCAATAACTGACCACCGTGACTCTAAGGTTTTCAATGCATCTTGAAACTCCCATTTTTCTGATAATAATTCAATGTTCAAATTGGAAGTAGTACGAGAGAAAGCTTTAAAATTGCTATTCTGCTTCTTTAACATTTCATCAAGTTTGCTGTTAGTACCCTGCGATATAGATTTCGGAATATTATACGATATATCACGAGACTCTGTTGTCACAGGATAGTTAAGTTGCTCCATGGAAACCGACGGCGATTGCGTCGGGGTGGCCAACGGCGTAGCCGGTTTTAATAAAGCTCTCGGGTGTTTCAAAATAAAATCACGAGTTGATGTAAAGAAATCATATGTTCTTTGATAATGATTACCCGTAAAATAATCATGAGATTCGTCACCTATGTTACTCAATTTCAAATGATTACTCTGGAATTCTTTCCAATATTCATCTAACAAATTAACTTTTTTATTGATATATTCAGTCGTCTTGCGATGTGAACCATCCTTTTTAAAATTGCTGAGATCTGGCTCTGTGTTGCCAATAGGTCTTCCATTTTTACTGCACGATTGTTACGTAAGCGATAATATGGAAAGATCTTACTTGATAACTCTACTATATTTCGTGGAGGTTGTGTCTCCCAGCTGCCTCTGCTGATGCTTCTGCTTCTGTTGTGATCCTCTTGATATGCACTGACTCCAAAGTCCGCTGTGTTGGAATCACTTACACGAACACTGTTCACAGTCCTCGCGCACCTGATCCCACCTTTCCGAAGGTTCGAAGGACCATAAAGATGTCTGGGACACCTTTAGTTGCTTGATACGTTATGATAGGTTCCGAAAAACTGTCCCGAAAATGTTGTTATGTTATATGATAAACGATGTTGTTTGTATGAGTAATTTATTGCTACTGTTCAATTCACTTAATAATAGGCATAAAGAGTCGCGCGCAGCGCCGACGTTAGCAAAATACTTAAACGTATAGAATTGTACGGGTTTGCCCGTACAGGGGTTGTACTTTCGGCTTGAGAAATTTTGCAAGTTCCGCTCAAATTATAATTGGCTAATTCTGCATCTCCTGCACCTGAAGGTAACGTCGGTTTACGTATTTTACCCTCGGTTATGGGTAAGCAATTTTCAATGCCACATAAGATTATATTAATCTCATATTTCCAAGTTGGCCAGTTATACTTTCCCTCGAGAACTCCAATTTGTGTTCTACTTAGCTCCATTCTTAGGGGTTTACAGTGAATTCTCGTGCATGAACCAATAACCTGTGATTGTTATAGTACTCACGTTTAAGTAGCAGAGCGTAGTTCAACTCGATGGTATATGCAGACTAAGAACGTCACTAGGTACACTGAACACTTCACACTAGAGCTGTAGCAAACCGTATGTATTCGGTACTGAGTAACGGGTGCGCCATCTAGTACCGAGTAACGAAACGTTGCACACAAATAAATTTCGTTACTCGCATTTTTCGTAGTATGACTATCTATATGTTTTAGGGATGTCGAAAGTTGAAAAAAATATAGATACATCGATATTTTAAAAAAAAACAATATCGGCTTCGATATAGCACGAAAAAAACATCGATATATCGGACCAATTTTCCCAATATTATGTTTAGGTCAGCCTAGCACATTAATAATAACAATACAAATTATAATTAAAGAAAGAATTATCAAAGTACCCAATTGCCGATACACTACATGACAGTACGGTATCTCACGAAATATGGCACGCGGAATAATAATGAAACGAAAATTATCTCCCTAAAAGTAGACCCGTTTTTCGAATGTAGAAAATGATTTCAGGGTGTTATTAATTACACCTCTCAGGTGTCATCTTTCGTAAACAAGACTAGACAGTCACACACTTCCACAGAATATAATGGAATTCAGCGCAACCAATTCACCAGCGAAACAGATTTACAAATAATAGACAATACTAAATACAGCACCGATCATAGATATGTTGAATATCATTCATCTGAGATCCAGTTCCGATTTTTCAAGATACGAATTTAGTTAGATCGTGATATGCCGCTAATAATTAAAAAAATATCGTTTTTGATAGGAATTTCGATATTGGTTATTTTGTATCGATGTATCGATATATCGAATCAAAATATATCGGCAAAAAATATCGATATATCGATACATCGATATATTGTCAACAAGCCTGCCCTATAATTGATGTGTGTATAGAAACACTTGCTGATCGTATGTTTTAAGCATGCGCGAGCATATTCGGAGAATTTAAAAACGTACGTTGGAGTTTTTGGCGGGATGTCATCGAGTGCGGTTAGCGTCTTATTTTAATTATTCTTAAATTCGTTCATAGTGGACATTATGAAATAAAATTGGTGTGATTTTGTGTTACAACCGTCTGCGTAACTAAAGAATTAGTGGAATCGTTAAATAAACTAAACTAAAATATACGCTATTCCGGTCAAATGGACGTGAGAAATTTACTGTCGTGTTGACTACCTCACAGAAGCTTATCGAAAAAGCCAACTTGATAGATTTCGTTTAAATTTTTTTTATTTTTTTTATAATTTTATTTTGAGAACAAACGATTTTTGCTGTAGTTCTTTCTTTCGTTATGTTTAATTTCATTCTAAGCAAAACTATTTTTATGTTGATTTATCGTTAGAATGCTATTTAAGTATTATTATCAATACAATAATTTTCGACACCTATTTGTTGCTTTATCATTATAATTGATGAATAATGGATTGCGATGTTATTGTGATATAACTTAAGCTCACGGTTAAAAATTTCAAAATAGTAAAACCGATTTTTTATGAGAAGTAACGAGTAACGAATACATACGGGTACGCTTTTTTTCGTTACTTTTACACCTCTACTTCACACTTGATTTTTATAAAGTTATTTAATAGATTTGTTTATTTTATTTTTGCACATTAGAATGTCCACACAGATTGTAAATTTTTTTCACTAGACTCATATTTTGAATATACATTTATTTTTATAGAAAAATGACAGTTCACAGACAGGACTCACTTCTTAGCCAGCCTGTAACAGTATCTTTATATGAATTATAATAAAATCAAAATATTATTCCAAAATTTTTAGGTCACAGATCTGACAAAACAGTAACTGGCAAACTGCCAAAAATTACAGAGGTAATCCAAAATATAGTAATTTTATTGGTAGAGTTATTTTATTAAACGATATTAAGTTAAGGTTTAAAAGTAAAAACTATATAAACAGTCCTTTCAATGATGGTGTCTCAACCCTTACCTCGCTATCTATTTTTTTGTCCAATAGAAGAATATAAGGGATAAACTTAAAAAATATATAAATTTGATTTGTTTTCAGAATTCCAATTCTAAATTAACATCAAAAAATAATGGAACAAATTCCAAATCTCCAGCTGAAAATGATATAAATGAAGATTTTGGGACTAGAGATTTTCAATATTCCTGGATGCCAGTACCAGAAAGTGATGGCAATTTAGCAATCCACACAATACCAATTACTTTAAAAGAGGGAAAGTCAGGGAACACAGTTAAATTTAGTAAAGTTGACAGTTATCATGAATATAGATCAAGACACAAGCATACTCCACCAACTAAAGATACTGATGTTGAAAGACCACAAAAACAGAAAAGTGTTGAAACTATACTTATTCAAAATGATGAAAGTGAGACTATTGATTATTCTTCAAGCTCTTCCGATACTAGTTCTGTTGAAAATTTGAATATAAAAAAAAGTAAGGATACTGGCAATAAGAGCAATATTTCAGATGAAGAAAATGTAGTAATTTACAAAATACTGAATTCTAAAAGAGGTAAAAAAGAGAAAAAAAGAAGAAGACTTAAATTAATTGATGATGTTGCAAAAGTGCTTACTGCAATGAACAAAGAGAAATTAAAAAAAGATGACAATAACAACCGTGGTGATACGGCCAGTGGTATACTGACTACAAATACTAGAAACAGCAATCCCTTGGAGCAGATAAATGAAGGTACACAACAGCTTTAGTTTAGCTAACTTGTAGGTACATAATTCAATTATTTATATTTGTTTAGCTAGTTTTTCATATGGAGCAAGTTATAAAATTTCCTATGTGAAAAATTAGTTTTTGGAAATTTGTGACCATTAATAACCATAGATTGTGTAATAAGACCTAAAAATAATAGATCTTCCTTTGGCATACTATTATCAAATCCTATAAGAAATTTTTGATATAGATTTGTTTAATGAAAAATATACAATATAAGAAATTTCCAAGCAAAGCCAATTTAAATAATTAGGTCAATTAAAAATTAATTTATTTTGCCACCCTAATGTATACAGAGCCTCGGCTTTGTCCATTTTGTTTAGTTTTACTGTGGTGAAGTTAACTTCGCCGCAGGATTAAGACGAAGTGATTTAGTACAAACACCGCAAGCTTGGCGATGTCTGTGGAATAATTAAATGCTGATATTGGTGTCGATCAATAGACCGGGAGATGATGACACAAAATACTTGGTCATTTGTACCAGTATGGCGGTTCTTCAGGGGTCTAATTACGTAAAGGCAAAAAGGAAAATGATGGTCATAGCGCTCGCACCGGCGGCCCAATCGCGTGAGCGTTAATCGAACGCGTCGGATAAATAACGAGTGTCGAACGATTTGTTCCACAAAAATGCTTATATATTCAGATAGTCGAAAAAAAGAAGTAGGCGGTAGCGTAATGCCATACTTCTCGGGTGTGACTTACAGCCCGCCATACCGACGCGAATACATTAACTTAAATAAAACAATTCAATCATTTGTACCAGGCTAATTTTTGCACAGCTAATCATCGTCGAGTAGCCATTTACGAAAATCACCTTGCCATACTTTTCCGACGGTTCCCATTGGCCGCCATACCGCTGCAAAGGAGTAATTTTTTTTTTCGCCAAACGATTTGTACCAGTATTGCATTTGAATTTTTGGAAAGTATTTGGCAAAATGTGACCGTTATTATTTTTCCCATACTTCTAGTAGGGGGAAAAAGTGCTGCCATACTTGAAATACTTATTTATTTGACACGTTTTAAAAATACGACTGCAAAATACGTAAAATCATTTTTTACATCATGACATCATTGTATTCTCGTCGGATGCAATTGGACGTAAAAAAAATTATTACAGATTGTAAACATGGGGCGGATGACTGTCGGACTTGAGCTAAAAGGTGAAAAAGAAAAAAAAAATTGACGATTTGTACCAGTATGGCATTTGGATTTTTGGAAATTATACGATACAATGTGACCATTATTATATTTGCCATACTTGTAGTAGAGGGAAAAAGTGGCGCCATACTGGTACAAATCGTTCGAATTACGAATAAAATCTTGGGACTTTGAAAAAATATTGTTCACATTCGCCACCTCCCACAGGTATGGCATTATCAGACTTCTATTTATGATCATACGGGGAACTGTTAAAAAAAGTTTCAGGGTGGTACAAATCATTTGGCGAAAAAAAAATTACTCCTTTGCAGCGGTATAATGGCCATTGGGAACTGTCGGAAAAGTATGGCAAGGTGATTTTCGTGAATGGCTACTCGACGATGATTAGCTGTGCAAAAATTAGCCTGGTACAAATGGTTGAATTGTTTTATTTAAATTAATGTATTCGCGTCGGTATGGCGGGCTGTAAGTCACACCCGAGAAGTATGGCATTACGCTACCGCCTACTTCTTTTTTTCGACTATCTGAAAATATAAGCATTTTTGTGGAACAAATCGTTCGACACTCGTTATTTATCCGACGCGTTCGATTAACGCCCACGCGATTGGGCCGCCGGTGCGAGCGCTATGACCATCATTTTCCTTTTTGCCTTTACGTAATTAGACCCCTGAAGAACCGCCATACTGGTACAAATGACCAAGTATTTTGTGTCATCATCTCCCGGTCTACAATGTATAACATACAAATTAGGAATTTGTCGCTTTTTATTGCTTATATTCAAATAGTATTTTTTATTTCAGGACTCTATAAGTTGGTGAATGAAAAAGGGTAAGTAAAATTAATTATTTACTACAATGAGCATCACAACGTAAGTTTATATCACTAAACATAAAAATTATGTGACCCTATATTATCCCCAATAATCCCTTCACATTCCATCCGTCCTTCAGATTGAACTACAATGTAACTAGCTGCTTTACTGCTAATGTAGCGATGTGGGAAACTAAAGCTGAACGCAAACCTTGGTGGTGAATATTTTTTTATTTCTTATGGATATGATAATGTTATTTAATTAATGCATTTCATCACAAAACAACCAGTCTTCCATCATCCACCATCATTTAATGTTAATGCATTGTTTTTTATAGAAAGTTATATTCACTTATTAAATCACAATTTTTTTTTTAGGGACAACATAACATCATTACACTTTTCTGACAATTCACAAGTTGGTGACAGGGATGTTGATAAAGGGCAAAACAAATTATGTTTATGCAAGAAAAGCAGGAGGATAAATAAACCTGTTATAGAAGGTATTTAAATTTTAAAGTTGAAATGACGAAAAAAAAATTTGTTAAATATATAATTAAACATATAACAACTATTCCATTTATTACAGGTACTGCTATTCCTGAAAGTGGAGATGAATCTTTACAGAGGTCAGCTACATCTTTTTTCTACATTTTATACAAAATATTGAAACGTCTCAGCCGCATGCTTTAATCTTATTATAACCTTATCGAATTACAGAAATAAAGAGTCCTTGGTATCCAAAAATAGTTCTGGTAGAAGTCTCAAGCCTACAGCTACTACAAGCGCCGGGCTGCATACTTCAGCTGCTACTTCAACATCTTCATTCAAAACAGCAGCTATGAATGAAAAAAATACAATGCTTGATGGCGATTTTCTTAAAGTATTGGATGACAATGGGCATGAAGCAGGCAAATTTTATATAGGTGCCAGTGGTTATCTTAAAGAAGACGCTTACGAAATAACGATACAACTTAAAAAGAAGGAATCAACAAGAAATGATGAAAATGCCGAATCGATTAAAAAGTTGGATGAAAACCTAGGTCTAAAAAAATCAGACTGTACTATTCGTGGATCGAAGATCGCTGAAAATGTACTTGCTCCGTCTTTTGAACCTTCACATGTGAATCACGTTTTGAATAATTATGAAACTTTGAATACAGTTACTTCTCAAAGTGCTCCAGAGAGCGACCCAATAGTAACAATGCCGCAAGATCAGCCTCCTCCTCAGTCTACTTGCATGGAAGAAACAAATTTGTTAGTTAACAATGCATCAAATACAAGTTTCAATCAGCCTATTTCTACAGCCTCAAGTAAACAAATGAAAGATAAACCAGTGAAACAAGTTGTTGACAGAAGCGTTTATACAGATTCTCAGCTCTCCTTTGTGGTGCCTAGGGATTTTCCTAAAACTGATGTTACTCCGAGACCAGCAACGTCCACTTACACACAAACTTCAATGTACTCTCCAAATACCAGGCCAGTTTATATTCATATGAGTTCTTCCACTTCTACTGCTTACTTGAGTCCACCCGAAATGATATTACCCAAATGTATGAGGCATAAACATGAATCAATTAATGCACAAGCAGCACATTCATCGCAGGATGAAAGATACGAAATCGTAAGGCAACGCAAGTGTGACCAAGATACGATGTGTACGTGTAGGAAATGTGTGCTATATAAAAAAGTAACTACGAATAAAATAAAGGCCAATGCCAAAAGTTATATGAAAACCAAACATGATCCGAGGAAAATAAGCACACCTCCTAATACGGCCCGTAATTATGGAAATAGTAGTTTGGATAATAATTCTCATGATGAGTCATCTCGGAAAAAACTCAAAAAATGCCGGAAGTGTAAAAGCCGTGAATCATATAGCTCTGATATTAATTACTGTGTGCCTAAAGTAAAACGAGCAAATAAAATATCTTCAAATAATTTAGTTCCAAATGTTACTCGAAGTGCAACGAGACCCACCAATATAAATGAAAAAACTCGTAAATCTAATTTGAACCCTATTGTGAAAAAATACGTTAACAAACTGTTGGAACTAAATAGTAACGGCCTGAAGGCAATCGAAATTGCCAATCAAGAATGCAGTTCAGTCAGTACTCCAGGCAGCTCTGTTATAGATGTTTCGCATAACATTGCGGGTAATAATACTGAAGTGAATAACAAAATCTCATTAGAGCAGATTAAAATGATATTAAAGCAAAAAATATTAGAAGAATGCGGTAATAAAAATGAGCATGGTGACTTGTTACATGTAAATAAAAATCCGTCAAATTGTATATCAAAAGTACCAAAAATTAAACGATCCGTCCACAAGGTAAAATCATTGAATATATCAAGAAAGATATTGAAATCGAAAAAGTTTCCTGTTGCAACACGTAAAACAAAACCCAGTTGTAGTACTTCGTCCCCATCACCACCTACGAATGTGTATGTTAAGAAATATACACCATCTGGTTCAAAAACAACAGGTGAATACAGCAAAAGAGTTCGCAGCAAGAGTTCTCCCACTCCTCGATTTGAGGGTAAATTTGAATCTACTAACGATAATACAGCTTCAGATGTTTCAGATGTACAAAATATTTATAAAAGTTCTTTTAACAAGAAAATCCCTGACGAAAAACAAAGGTTTTCTGTCAAACTAGATGACAAGAATGTACGTAAAGCCAATGACTATATTTTACCACTGCACAAAGCAACTATTACATCCCCTGACTCTGAAGAGAATGTGAACAAGACACAAACTCGTACTGATATCCCTACTAATACTTCGACACAAACAAGTCAAGATTTGGATAGCGAGATCAATCTTATAAAAATGGCAGATGACAAAATCCAAAACATGGAAAAGATAGCCGATTTAACAGAAAAATGCACAAAAAGACTGTCTAATTTAGCTAAGATTTTAGAAGAAGTAAGGAAAAATAAGTCTTTGGCATATAGTCATATTTCAACATCAGATACTGCATCTGATTCTGAATATAAATCAGACAAAGTCAAGAATGTTGGTAGCACTCCAAGCCTTGGAGATCCCATTACTAACGCAGAAACAGATTCGAACATACAAATAAATAAGACTCCCCCTCACGCAACAACTTTGCCGAAAAGTGATAAAAAAGTAAGCTCAGAATATATTTCTTTCTTGAAAGATATTCCTAAACCAGACGAATACAAACTTTATTCAACACCAGTCGAAACTGAAAAATTAAAAACTACTGCTCTTTCAGTAAATCAATCTGGTATCAAAATTAGAACCAAACCTCCGCCTGCTTTAAATCGCATTAGCCTTAAGCATGCGCATGACATTATTCCTCATGAACTGTCAACTGTAGTCGAAGTCGATTCACCGATGAGCGTAAAATTAAAAAATCAGCCGTCGCAAGGTGATGTTTTAGACACTTCCATCAGTACTAGTAAAACCAAAAACCTTATTGAACAAGTGGACACAGATATTCGAGCAAATCCAGATTTACTCCAGAATAATAACTCTGTAGTGACTCAACAACCAACTGTAAATATTGATCCAGCAGATGATACTAAAATTCAAATGATGGATTTGAAGCAGTTTAACGATGTCATGCTAAAACCATTTATAACTCTACAAGAATATGCAAAGCAGTGTAACATTGGCATATTAGACGAGGGGTCGAATATGGATGATAATATTAAAGATGATTTAGCAAATGATGAGTTTAGTTCGCTACATTCGGATGGAAGTTTGCCAGATGTGATTGCTGAATTATTAAAAAGAAATGTCATAGCCGAACCTTTTAAATTTGAAACAATATCTAACGTTAATTCTACCACAGTATCATCGGAATCTACTTTGTCGGTATTAGCACTGTCAAAAGTACGACATAATAAAAAGAAATCTGGAGTCACATTTCAAAATAAAGAGAATATATCCGAAACATCTGATACATTGAGCATTTCCTCAAATCCTGATTTGGAAAAGGCCTTTAAGAAACTTGGTATGGGATGGGCTTCCTCAACTTTAAAAAAAACAAAAGAGCATTTGGCATTATCATCATCATCAAATACGTCTAGTTCTAGTTTATTACAATTTAAATCAAAAAACTTAAACAGTCAACAAATACCTGCTCTTGTAACTGACTCAGTGTTATCTACTTCTAAAACATCTAAAAGGCAAAACCAAGGAAATATATCAGATTTAGCAAAAAATGCAGAACAGCAGACTTTTATGACTTCCATGACTGTCAAGGAATTTCTGACTAATGAATTAGCTAATAAGATAACATTTACGAATAAATCCGACAAAAATAACACTGACGAAGAATTTGTTTCGTTACTTGAAACTCAAATGCCGGAAGAAATGAAACATTCATCACATAACTTGCATGAGGAACGTACTCTGGATAGTTTACGTAGTGGGAGTAATAATAGAGCTCGTACTTCTACCCCAGTGCAGATTTTTAAATCGATGACATATCATTCAAGTTCTAGCTCCAATGTATCTAATGGTCTATTTAGTAACGCTGATGATTTGTCATCTGTGAAAGTAACATCGAATTCTATGCGTAATCATTCCACTTCTGATAAGGGAGAATTAACTATACCTAATTGCAGCTTAAAAGTGAGGAAAGGTGCGTCAGATTGTAGTAAAAGCGATTGAAATTTGTAATATTTTATTATTTATTTTCTACTGTATTTGTACAACAAAAGTTGTATGAATTTTGTACCACTGAATTTAAATGAATTATAGTTAATTTTATAGGAATTATTTGTTTTACTGAGCACCCTTTTCTGAAAATCTTTCAAAGACAAAGGCCCAGTTTCACCAAAATTCTTGATTTAAATCTAATATGTTTAATGTTTTAGACTCATTCTATCTCTATTTGACTTTAAACAATTGACAAAGATATAATGAAGTCTTAAACACGATAAGAGCTTAATTTCAATCAAGAACTTTGGTGTAAGTGGGCCTAAGAGTTGATCACCAACAATTGTACATGCTTTTGTATGGAGACGGATAGGGAATGCCAAATAAGGCGATTATTTTATATAATATAAGCTCTATTACTTTTGAATTGTCATAAAATACAGTATAATAAAATTTCTTTTTCAATAAGAAATTAATTATTGATGTGGGAAATTCAAATATCTGAAACGCAACAGCGGTTGTGACCACAGAACACAAGAGGTAAGGAGGGTGATTAGAGACCGTTTGAACGGGAACCGATGTCGCCTGCTCGCCCCTTGTCCGTGATGCTAGCGTACACACAATCAATATACTGTTTTTCGTTATGCCAATAAATACTGCGTAGATAGTGCCAAATTAGTGTAAAAAATTGCCTCTTTAACTTAAGAAATAATGACCATATTTACTGTGTCAATTTCGTTGCTTAAATATATGCAGTTCTTGGGGACGGCCATGGGTACGCTAGCTTGATGTCATGCTAGCGTACCGTACCGTACACAGTAAAAATGGTCTTTATTTCTTAAATTAAAGAGGCACTTTTTTATTTTTACACTAATTTGGCGCCATTTACACAGTATTTAATGGCATAACGAAAAACCGTATATTGATCGTGTGTACGCTAGCATCACGGACATCTCGCCCCCACTACACTTCCACCTAATAGATAATAGCCAATTTTAAACGGGTTGGAACCCAGTTTTTTTTACAGATAGGTCCGATAAGTGACTTCACCCCACCTGATGTTAAGTGACGGTGAAGTCCAGACGCGAACATAGCTGAACCAGCAGTTCTACCTGCTACATCAGCCATCCTCGCCCTGCCGGTCTGCATGTTACTTCTTTTAAAGGATCCCAGGTGGTCAAAAACCGGGTCTTTTGGGTTTAAACTCGTAAACAACCAATTTTTGGGTTTTTATTATGTTTTACTTGAATTTGAAATAATATCTACTTCTTGACCTGACTAATGCAAGCTGGTACAGTGAGCCACAGTCAACAGTTTTAGCTACCACCCATTTCCGGTTTTGCCTCTCGTTTCAAGAAAAGTTCCGACAAATGACACCGCCCCCTTCTGATGTTAAGTGACCACGCGTCTGGACTTCACAGACGCGTGGTCTTCCGAAGGAAAGTGGGGTAATGGAGAATAACTTCCCAGAACTCTCGCCGTGGTTAGACGAGAGAACACATCACAGCGTAATTCAAGAGGCTGGAGGTGTCGAATCACCTACTTTTCGCCAATGATTCGTGTCGTGCGCCACTGAAACCTATACAAAGCATCGAGTAAGTACTTGGCGGAGTCATCCCAGAGGTGTAAGCAATATTTTACGCAGGGCCACACTCAGAGATGTACAAAATACTTTTCGAAAAGTATTTAAATGCAAGATACAAAATACTTTTGCCTTTTGTATTTAAATACTAAATACAAAATATGTATTTTCAAAATACTTTATTAAAATAAAATACTTTATGGTAAAATTACTGCTTTCGGTACTGTCGGCGTTAGGTTAGATATAAAACGTAACCGAGGCAAAATGAAATGGAAAAGGCGCGTACGGCGTAATGACATGTAAACAGTGCTGCCAACTCTGAATTTCATTTAGTGCTAAAACTATGTCGAAATGTACTAAAAACGTGCAGTCTTAAAAAAATGGTGCTAAATTGTTTTCGGAATCTGAATCTGAGTGCACTCTGGCCGCACCCATAGAATAGATTTAAATGTCAATTACCACACAAAACGACCAAATTAACTTATGATATGATCGAAGCTATTACATACTTGCCACAATGCCCACAATGACATCTTTTTTGTAGTGCTGTTTACGTACCGTTTTTATATAAATATATTTTTCTATTTCTGTATTTTTATTTGTCATTTATACATTCATAATCACTTAAATTAATCGTTAAAATAACGTTTTATTGCCTACACGGCATATTGTTTAAATACAATTTGTTTTGGCATTTTTTTAAAGACATTTCGAGCGAACAACACAGAAATAATGAAATAGCTGCCAACACTGCAAAACGTAACAGTGACTTTGAGGATTGTCAAGAGGGGTCGCTCATATATTATTGGTCAGGTTTTATATGCGTTTTGTTTCTTCCGCCATTTTGCACATAGACTTTCAAAGCTGCTGCGCCGCTTGTGGCCATTTTTTGTTTTTATTGAATCGCGGAATGCTTTAGAAAAATGGAGCTAAGAATAAAAAAGTATTTTGTATTTTACAAATACAAAATACGTCTCGAATAGTATTTCAAATAAAATACAAAATACTTTTTAAAAAAAGTACTTAAGTACAAAATCCAAAATACGTATTTTGTATTTTAAATACAAGTATTTCAAATATGTCACAACTCTGGCCACACTTGCATCTTGTGTAACAAGCACGTTGATCAGGAATGCAAAAACGCCGCTCCATGTTCAGACCTCTGAGTTGTGCGAGGCTATTTTTATCTCGCTTTTGATGTAGTTTTATACAATATAGATTAAGTCATAGCGAACTACCATACTGAGCAGGGTCGTGAATCGTGATATTGCTATAAGGCTCCAATATTATGTTCTGAAGAGAATGCACGGGAAGGAAAGTCACTTCTTTCCTTAAACGCGCAGTCTTGAGCTTTCTTAACATTGAAATCAACCAAGTTCTTGGAACCCTTTTCGGAAATGTGTGCTGAAATCTGAGTGAGCTCAATGATAAGATTCTCCTTTTTCTCCTTGGCAAATACCTGTCCAGCCGTTGCGTATCCGAAATATTCCACATGCACTGTTCAATTTTTTAAAAATAAAAAAGTCCAACAACATTCTAGGAATCTTATTATATTTATTTTAAGCATTTAACTTCTAACTACATGTTTGAACTAGGGATTTGTTCTCATATCTCTTCATGTATGAGACATTATAATATGAACTATTTGTTCTATGTAGGGTTGCCAGGCCATAAAATGCAAAGGCCAGACTGCGCACTATATAAGGCCTGACATTTTGCCCTAAAAGTCGCACATATTTATTATATCAGACAGCGGGGCGGGGTAGTCACGCTCACGTCACGCGCCACGCGCGCTAACAGTTTGCTCTCTTGTCCGCTCGGACGCTCGTCCGCCCATCGTCGAACGAATCGCCACTCTGACAAAAAGCCGGACAGGCCAAACACGTACAGTTTGTCTATAAAGTCGTGACATTAAATGATGGCGCCACTAGTGTGCATGTAGCAACCCTATACAGTCGGACCAAAATGATTTTGATACTAGCAGTTCATTCAAGTAAAATAGGTAATTAATAAGACACACTATACAGTCGTATTTTGTTTCTGTTTTATATATAGTAGGTACCTATTAGTCTAGTCAACAAGTGCCTTTTTGGTCAACTTTTTTCAGCAGTCTCCGAAAATTATGATCGAGGTGTCATTCGATTAGGAATGGCATCTAGATGATTTTTAAAAAAAATGAAGTTCCGCAAACAAAAATTGCAAAAGTTATTAACAATTAACTAAAAAAAGGAGGGGGTTTCGTTTTTTGGAAATATCTCAAAAACTAATAAAGATATTTCAAATTAAAAAAAAGATTCAAAAAGGGAAGGAAATTTCCTAAAAAAAGCCCCGACTCCCGGAACTGTAGGACCAATATTTATAATTTTACCAGAGGGATGAAAATACGGCCGAAAACGGGTCCTGTGGCTTGCGTAAGCCACGCCTACTTTGGGCACTTTATTAATAAAAATTATTTTAACATGTTAAATATAAAATTTAAGAAATGAAAAAAATCAGGGGCTTACTGGATAGATGAATGAACAATAATCCCCGTGAAAAAAATGTTTATCACAATTTTTCAATTAGTTATGCGATTGTTAATTAAAAATTTTTTTCCGCTTGAACATGAACATTGCAAGTGTGATTATTGTTAAACTGAGACTTTTTTCCTCTCTTGGAGAAATTCTTGAAAGGCTTCAGAATAGATCCCCGTTGGAATATTTAAAAAGAATTTTTTTTCGATGATTAATTTAGCTTTTTAATTTTCGAATAACGATAATTGTTAATAAAAAACTGTTTTTTTTTAATTATTTCAACGGGGATCTATTCTAAAGCCTTTCAAGAATTGCTCCAAGAGAGGAAAAAAATCTCAAATTTATAGTTTAACAATAATCACACTTGCAATGTTCATGTTCAAGCGGAAAAAAATCCAGTCCATCCATCCATTCATCTATCCAGTAAGCCCCTGAATTTTTTCATTTCTTAAATTTCATATTTTAACATGTTAAAATATTTTTTATTAATAAACTGCCCAAAGTAGGCGTGGCTTAAGCAAACCAGAGTACCTGTTTTCGGCCGCATTTTCATCCCTCTGGGAAAATTATAAAGGACATTGCTCTGCGTCCATACATAGTTAGCCTAAGAACCAACAGTCATGAAATATTATTTTCTAGGTTCGAAGTCGCAAGTAAATGACTGTAAAAACAAAGATTATTGACGGACACTTCTGAGAACTAAAATTATTAGGAAAACTAAAATATTTTTGAGGTTATGTTTAATATTCAATGAAACATAGGTCAACCTATGAACTTAGTATGAAGTGAATTAATATTACAACTAATTCATTTTACTCGGTGCGATTTTAAAGAATAACTATTAGGAAAAACTTGGTTAGGTAGGAATCATGAATAAAATAAAAACAATAGTTTTGCTTCTTATTATTTATTGACTATTTTTCACATAATTGTATCATATTGTATTTATTTGTTTAATACATGTATATTGTGTAAATATGCAGCGTGAATGTGTATCAGGTGCTCTTGAATAATTTGGCAGTATGATCCTCTCAGGATGTTGTGGCACAGGTTCACTAGCACTTGGTAATAAGGTCTCTGCACTTTGGTATGTTACGATGGCATATTAGATAGCCGAAATAGTAATAGTTAAATTAAAGGAAAAACAATCGCAAATAAACTCACACAACAGATAATCCGAACGAGAATTTTCCGTATTTAAAAGTACTCTTGACGAGATTGCACGAATGCCACAGATTACTACGAATGCAAACTGCCTGCACCACAATCACAGAGTATCGAGTTTATGCCGGCCCTTCACTTGACAACAGTTTGTCCTTGTCATGCTTAATAAGGAATGAAAAGGACAGACTGATGTCATGTTTTTAAATAGCAAATACGAATAGCCAAGTGAAGTGCCGGCATTAGGAAGAAAGTATTTTTTGTTTGCAGTGCTGTCATAGATTATACACATAAAATGGTATTTATTGTTTCAGATTATTTATTAACTTTTTAATTTAGCTTACTTAACTGGAAGTGTCCGTCACAATCTAAATACTGATAATTATCGCAAAAAATATACTAAGAATTATCATAAATGCCAAATTGGTGTTGGTTCTTAGGCCAATTTTAACATTGTCCTTTTGGTCCTACAGTTCCGGGAGTCGAGACTTTTTTAAGGAAATTTCCTCCTCTTATTGAATCTTTTTTTTTTAATTTGAAATATCTTTATTAGTTTTCGAGATATTTGCAAAAAACGAAACCCCCTTTTTTTTAGTTAATTGTTAATAACTTTTGCAATTTTTGTTTGCGGAACTTCATTTTTTCAAAAATCATCTAAATGCCATTCCGAATCGAATGACCTCGGTCATAATTTTCGGAGACTGCTGAAAAAAGTTGACCAAAAAGGCACTTGTTGACTAGACTATATGCTTATAAAAAGTTTAGCCAATCATATTTAATTGATCAGAATAAAATTATTATAGATAAAATAGTACTTTATAGTGTACAAGTGTGTAATGTTGGTGATTACAGCTAAGGTGCCATTGAGACCAGAGCCGTTAGGTAATCATCAATACACACAAGTATCATCATACGACGTTTTTTAACACACTTGTTAAGAAAATAATACTAAAAATCTTTATTTAGAGAAACAATTTGTAAATGTGCAGTTAGTAAAATTAGTGATAGGTATCTTCACTACAAGCATCTGGCCATGGTTCTTTATGTGAGCATTTCTTTCTTTGGGCGGCCCTGCCTGTTTTCCCAGTAGTTTCAAACTTTCCATCATTCTTAAAACCTTCGTTGACTATCCGACTCTCTGATTTTCCTGAAAAAAAAAGTAAAAAAATATGTAACGGAATAGTAACAATAACTTATTGACATGATGCAATTAATTCAAAATTGTTGGAAAACCTGACCGAGTTGTACCATAATAACGTATCAAAAGAAATGGTCGTACTACAATATTACCCATTTACAATGTCAATCTAACCTTAAAAATGAGCAATGTAAACAATGCCTTTTATAGTTATATTTTTTTTATGCCTTTTTTGGTCTCAAAGTCGTAAATTTGTAACTTCAGGCAGATTACAAACAAATAGTTACACGATTACATACCCGTCATAGATGGTTTTCGCCCATAAACATCGTCCAAATCCCACAAAAATCGTCCAGCTTGGTAGTCTTCGAAACATCGCTGGAAAACTTTAGAAATCACTTCCCGCGTGCCACTCCGATTTACTTTACTCATTTTTATACCTTTCTGCGTTGTTTCGTCTTAATTTATTACAGTTTAATCCAAACAATAAAAAATTCAAAAGGAAAACTGTTCCACTACTGAAACTCGATGACAGCTGATGTACATAAGTTTGGTGTTGCCAGACACATGAATAATATTAGTTCCTCAAACATTAATCTCTCGACTTTATAGACAAACTGTACATATTAACAAAAAGCCAAACATGTCCGGCTAAAGCCGGACACCTGGCAAGCCTAGTTCTATGGGACACATGACTATACACATGGGATATTTTTGGTCTTTAGGTTCATTGAACAAATAATTGCAGCTACAAAACAAAATTAAATAGGAGATCAGATAGTAAAATCCCTTATTCATTTTATAGTGTTTATTTATTTGACTGTACATGGTACTAGTAATCAATATTTTATCACAACAAGAAATATAAAACTAGTAATGATAATTTTTTTCTCCTTTATTAATTTGAATCAGATCCATCAATAAATAGTTAATAACTTATATAACATAAGATTCATTAATATTAATTATCACAAAAAATACAGTACATTTTCTTAGTCTATTATACTAATTTTTGTTGGTATTGTACATATTGAGATAATTTGAAAGATTACTTTTGAGATTCTCATACATTTATATAATTTAAACTAAAAACATGTAACCAATCTTTTTATGTATTTAATTCCTATAAAAATAATTTATAGATTTTTAACAAAGAGCTTGGGAAAGACCACCACTCACTGGTGAAATAATTTTAATAAACATAAATAAATTATGGTTGAATTACAGAAAAATTGTTAAAAATTTAAATTATCATCATTATTAATGGCTGTATTAAAAAACAAATAAAGGACAAGACCACATAACAAACATTTCTGATCACAAGCCACTTGTTGCATAATAATTCGTCCCCAGGATTAGAATAATTTATAGAAGTGTGATACTCATATGATTGCCAAATTAGATATTTTCCAGTCATGTATTGAAACTCATTAATCAATTTTGAGTCACATAATTACATTTTTTTAGTTTCTTATCTGAATGATTTGACAGGTATGTATTTGCTTTGGACTTACTATTTAAAAACAATATTTATATGCTAAGCATTGTCCTAGTGATTTCCTGATATCACAATTGTCTATAGGATTAGGTGGTTGCACACAAGGAGAACCTAACAGTTGTTTGCCACACTCTTAACTTATAAAATTAAAATTGTTTAATTTTCGAAGTGCCTACAAGTATACAAATAAATATTTTAAAAGTTTTCCTAATGGTGAATTAATCTATTCTTTCTTATCATCCTTAAATAGATGCTCTTTTGCTAGCGCATATGCTATACCAATAGTGAGTGCTGATACCACTGTACCCTGGGCTGCTACTCGAAGTTGCATAAGAAAGACACTAGTGCTCATTTTACCTCTCTTTTTAAATGCAACTGCACCCCAGCCGCATACTCCTATCAATCCCAAGATACCTGGAATGTAAAAGGTACATAATAGTAAACATTTCGATAATACATTATTTGATCAGAGTAAGTGTAATACCTATTATCATGAAAGGAGAGTCTTTTGATTTCCTGGCAAATTTTTCTGTCTGAGACTCATCTGTATAGTCGAAAATAGGTTGTGAGTTTGGCATCTTAGTTTCTGAAAATAAATAATAAATTACTATTGCAAAGTAAAATAGTTACAAAAAAAAGTGGATCCCCACAAACGTTAGTGTGTTTAAAAGATTATGATTCGTCATTACGAAAGTCGTTGTAATTTAGTTTTATAGAAATTGACTTACTGATTGTGTCCAATTTTTATAATTATTGCTATTATATAATTTCACTTTTTTGTCACATTGCATATGTGCTTGCAACGATACAATGCGAATGAATGAATGACCTTCAAATCAAAAGTGACTGTCAATGTCACGCACGTCACTGACAGTTACTTACTGTCAGTTTGGGCAACCGCGTTCAATACCTACGCTCAGTGTGCAACTTTTTACTCCGAAGTTTCTTTGACATAAAATTGACATTGGTTGCAACTGGAGCGTAAGTTACAGATCACTAAGATTATGTCTAAAGACAGATGAGAATCAGCCTAAAAAACGGCCGTCCGTTAGTGAAAATTTTCAATCTGTATTAGGTGTCAGTCGATAGTTCTGCCCTGTACATCGACCTTTAATTTGGATATCGATAAGATTACACACCCATCTTACATCGACAATTTCAGCTATAAATTGTCGTTGTTGGGAAGGCCTACAAATTGTGCATTTTATCTTAGAGCATATACCACCTTATACCATAGTATATACCATAGTGGTATACGCTCTAAGACATTTATCAAAGGCATGCATTTGCGTTCAGTCCAAATCAGCAGATCCACCCTTATACTTTGTACTTGTTGGTGATTTATTTATAAGAAAAATGTGAATGAAAAACTATAGAAATGCATTAATAATAATATAATTTATTCAGAAAACTTTTGGATTGCTATTTGATTATTGACGTTTTTCCTACTACATTATAAACAAACAAATCCTGATGAGTCATATAGAAAATTTGTCGGAATTTTCTGTTGAAGTCGATAGAGCTCACCTCTTCTTCCGACCTGCTGATAAAACACCAGTACCTGAGAAAAATGAAAAAAACATATACGACTTTTATTATCAGTGCTTTAACGGATCATTTAATTCAAAGGTATTATGGTCATCAAGTTATAAAATTAAAGTTAAATAAAGCAAAGCAATGGGTATTCATGGACATTTAATATACTTAATAGAAATTGAAAATGTGATAATTATTTTTAGCGGAGAAACCAGAATAGTCCACCTGCCTTTTAAAATATTATTGTCATATTACTAACAAACAACCGAGGACAATATTTAAATAGTATGCAACACTTATTCACCCGGCCATTCGATAAGTGACCATAACTTAATTATCTATTGTTCTGCCGTACTTCGAAAGGCACGTTAAGTCGGCGGTTCAGTTTACATCTGCAGTTGTTAGTACCCACCAATCCGCACTGGGCCCACATTGTAAGTCATGGCTCAATATCTCTATTCCATCCAGAAAGAAGACCTGTGCCCCTGTTGTGGGAACATTAATAGGCTGATGATGATGATGATGAATTCAAAGTATTACTTTAAACTCACTTTCATCTACCCACATTTTAGCGAACAAAATTTTTTATTGCAAACCAAATTGTAAATTATTTTATTTATGCTGGGACACATAGTAGGACTGACGCTTCAACCAGCCTTTCTCTCCCTCCACCTTTGAAAAAATGCCTTAGAGCAAATATCACTATGGTATATTATTTATGATGATTTTTATTCATACTTCTTGCAATATCTTTGGTTAAAATTCCAAAGATTCCTTGGTCTAATATAATCAAATGCGAGGGGGTAGACGATATTGCGCGCAGTGGCGGAGGGAGAGAAAGGCTGGTTGAAGTTTCACTCCTACTACCTAGTCAGGTCATAAATTCTGTCACATATTTAATATAAAATAATTGAAACAAGTTTATTCATTATGTAACCATTTATATACCAAAATGAACTTAACAAAACATAGATTCTTATGACAATAAAGTATATTCAAAATTTCTAATTGAATACAGGCCTTCAATCTGCGCGGCCAGTCGTCTATAGCAGCACAAAACGAGGTCCATGTCAATATCAGCGGCTGCCTTAATCAAGAATGTCTTGAGTGACTCCAAATTGGGATGAGGCTTTGAGCACACCTTTTCCTCCAAGTGTTGCCATATCTTGTAATCTAACGGACTCAAATCTGGACTTGAGGAGAACCAGTCTTCGTGCCGGATGAAGTCGATTTCTTTCAGATTTTCTCAGCCTTGTGTGCTCTTCGCTCTATGAGCTGGCGTCGAATCTTGTTGGAATACCCAGTGCCTGTTATTGAACATGGTATGAGAACCAGGTTCCACAAGGTTCGTCATGTATGACTGTATTTTGATACACAACTGCATTCGTTTTTACACCTTTCTCACAAAAATGTACCTCTGTAGAGCCCCAAAAAGAAACTCCCAACCATACCACGAGCGAGGATGGAAAATGACCTCGTTGGACATGCGGAATACGGTTGCTCGCTTCTTCACTACTGTGTGCGTATCTTATCATTTTGTTTGTTGTAGCTCTCTTTTACGTTAAAAATTTTTTCATCCGAAAAAAGAATTTCCCGATATTTTTTCCCGCGTACCGCTTCAATAAAGCGCGGCATTTCTTCAGTCTCAGGTTCATTAGAAGAGCATTCAAACGATATCCTGTTTTTCTTCGATATACCCGAAGCCCTAAGTCTTCATTGAATACCTTTTCACCGTGGTTCTGCTTAACCCCATCTGAAGGGCCAACAGTTTCTGCTTACGTTTGGGATTTCTTTGAAGTCGCGCCCTTCACAGCTTTTATCACTGCTGGAGTCCTAACACACCGAGGGCGACCACTTCTTGACCTGTCATCTACACTAGAGTCTTCATTGTATCGTTTGATGGTACGATAAACGAAAGTTTTGGTTATATTCAAATTTTTTAGTATGTCAAAAAATTGAATTGGCTCGTAACCGCAACGATGCAACGCAATACCTGCAACACGGTTCTTTAAGCGTCCACTCCATATTTAAAAATGAGTAAAATTCTAAAATAGACCGGGCGCTAGAGGTAAGTGAGTATGCATAATGTGAGTACCGAATTTTGCCAACGGATTTAAGTGAAGAATAGGTCAAAGAATAATAATGTGAATCTTGCCGGTCGATTTTTTGGTCCATATTTATTTTACCCCCTTTTCTCTTATTCGTAAAGGGAATGTATTGAGTACATGATATAAAATCATTTTAATGATTATTTTTGTAATAATTTATAGTTTTTTCTAATGGTAAAAGTCAGGATGGATTCTTAAATAATAAAAAAAAATCAAAGTAATATTTTTTTATTAATAAAAAAAAAATAAAGTTGCCTACTCATGAAAAACCAGCGAATCCAAGCATAAATGTATTTAAAGTAGGTACAAAATTATTCATTTTTATTTTTACATTTGTTATTGATGCAGTTACATAATTAAATACAAAACAATTTTGATTTTTGGCAATTACAAGACATTGTGCGACAATCCGCAGTACATTTACATGGTGAAATTAATGACTCTGATAAAGACGGCTACGTCCTTTGTCGTGGACGTAAGTCACCGTTGAGCTTTTCGTAACCAAATGAACAATAATCAATGGGTGGTAATTGTGTTTAATGAGCATTTTTCCATATAAATGTTTGTACAGTAGCCAAGTGTGCCAAGCCAGTAGCCGCTGGTGCTGTGGCCACGGAAGCGGACCTGGCAGCTCCGGATAGTGGAGGCAGGGACTCCCCTGACTTCATGTCTACAACCCAGGAGCCCCTGGTCTTTGAAGACGAACCGTCAACGCCGACGCTCACTTCCACCAGCCGCCTCCTGGAAACGATATCCGGGTACGTTAACAGGATCCTAGACAATGTCGACTGCAAGCGCAGTAAGAACAAATCTGTCACCAAGGCCAACCGAGAGAACACCTTGAACTACTGTAATAGCATACTCGGGCTCATCAAGGACGCCAAAGGTTACAACACAACCCAGCCCGGCGGTAGCATCCGCACTTCTTCCATCGGTCGAGCCTACCATCGCCGCCGACCTACAGCTGATCAGGAAAGAGCTAAGGGAAATCAAAGCGCAGATTAAGACCAGCACCCCTAGCCGGACTCCGAACACGATGCCCCTCACTATCGCGCAAATGGCGGCTGGACCACCGAGGGCTGCCCCGTCGACCGATCTCCCTATCATGTCGAGTAACCGCCCAGCGAGCATCAGAACCGCCGCTCCGAAACCAGCCCTGATCATGTCGTGCAAAGGAGAGGGAAACCCAAGGGAAAAGGCGGTGAGGGCCCTGAAGAAGTTGGTGTAGTACAAGGATGCCAAATATACAGCGGCTAAGATTGCCAAACTATCCAACGATATGACCCGTGTGGAATTTGACGGTGTGGATCACTTCAACGACGCCCTAAGGAGAATCAACGGCGCACCGGAGGCCATGGGAGTCTCTGCGGAACCAAAAAGAAAGATAAGCCCATGGTCATGGTGAAAGGTATCTCCAAAGATATGCGCAGCGAAGAGCTCTTGGGAAACATCATCGAGCAAAATGAGCACCTACAAGAGCTCTCCGCGGACACTGACATAAAACTGCGGTTCATTAGGAACAATACAACAAACAGGAAGCCAAGTAGTCAATACACTTGTAACAGGCACTAAGAATTTACGAAAATACTATTTTTTATATGTATATATAAAAATACGACTTAACAAAGCAACGTCTTTACGTGAATAGATGTAGAAACACACTAAACGCGTACGCGCGCTATGCTTAATGTATGGGCGAAGAGGGGATGTGAAGAGAGCGGGAAGGGACCATTACATCTGGCGGCAAGATGTATTTTATTATTATTTAGGGTCTCAGGTATAACAATCCGGTCATACTTGCCGTCACTCGGATTTTGCATACTCAACTACCTCTAGCGCCTGGACTAAAAAGTATACTATTTTATTTTCATGAACAATTCGAAATTCGAATTCAATAAACTTTTATGTGGCAGCATTCTAAAAGAAAAGTTTTCACTGTGTGACAATACTTATGACCTGACTGTGTATGTGTCCCAGCATAACAAATTGACTTTTCAATGTGTCATAACGGCCATTATACCGTGCTGCGACCGTAACAAGATTCATGTCCTAGGCCGCGACTATAGCTTCATTTATGTTATGACAACATTAAAACGTCCAGGTAAAAAATTGCACTCTGAGCGTAGGTATCGAACACAGTCCATGTCTAAAGAAATTTTGTGCATCAATGGGGTGACCATATTTTTTTGGGAATTAAATATTGACAAAAAATATCCACAATAATTAAAAAGCAGAACCATCATATCGCAGAAAGTTTATGGTCAGAATCATTATTTGGAATATTTGGCATACAAAAATTTATCTTTTCCTTGTTTTAAATCTATATGACAGGCGCTTCGTCGGCCGCGAAACGCTCGCATCGCTCGCTTGGCTCGCGCTAAGATTAGGTAATGAAATGAAATGAAAGTCAAAGTTTATTTGCATGAAACATAGTTTATTATACTTTTACGCCTTTTCTTCAGTTGGTAAATATATATAGTTCCATATGTTTCGCCCTTGGAAGAGCATTTAAAATACTACCTAATAAATTATTTAAAAAATCAAATTTAAATTAAAAAATAGTGCCTATAAAATTGTGCCTATAATTACATATATTATTAATTTCTCACTTCAGCACAATGTTTTTCCCACATCTTGGAAGAAAGCCAATGTCATACCCATTCCCAAGGTTTCAAATCCATCTTCTCTGTCTCAGTATCGTCCCATCTCTATACTTCCAATCCTATCCAAAGTCCTTGAGTCCATTGTTCATAATCAGATTTATTCTTTTGTCTCATCCAATTCTTTACTTTGTCCCCAGCAATCTGGCTTCCGTCCTTCACATAGCACTGTCGGAGCACTGCTTGATGTCTTTGAGGACATTCGACATGCAATGGATAATACCAAGCTTACGGCTTTAATTCTGCTTGACTTCAGCAGTGCTTTCAACTGTGTCGACTATAATGTTGAATGTAGAATGGTTTCGGAGTTACCTTTTTGACCGTTTCCAACGAGTGGTCTATAATGACTCGTGCTCTGACTGGGTACGTGTATTGGCAGGTGTACCGCAAGGTGGAGTTCTCTCTCCTTTACTCTTCTCCTTCTTCATTAATAAGATCGCTTCTATTATCTCTTCTCCTTTTCACTTGTATGCTGATGATCTTCAGATCTACCAAGACTTTCCAACAGGCGAAGTTTGCGATGCTATTGCCTTGTTAAATCGTGATCTGGTCTCCATTTTAAGCTGGGCAACTTCGTTTGGTCTGGCAATAAATCCAAGCAAATGTCAGGCTATGATTGTGGGTAGCAGCCGGCTCAGGAGTAGACTGGATTGGAGTATTGTTCCTCCACTCCTCTACAACAATATTCCAATACCATACACTGATAAAGTTAAAAACCTTGGTTTGACTATGGACTGTAACATGGCATGGTCCCCGCATATTGGTGAAGTTAGTAAACGTATCCATTACTCTTTCCACTCTCTCAAGCGACTCCAATACTTTTTACCATTTAAAACCAAAATTATGTTAGCACAATCACTCCTTCTTCCAATTCTCGACTACGCCGATGTCTGTTATCTTGATGCAAATGAAGAGCTACTCAATAAATTAGAACGACTCCAAAATTTAGCCATACGATTTATATTTGGTCTGCGGAAGTATGATCATGTGTCAGCTTATCGCTCTCTACTTCAATGGCTCCCTATTCGTCTTCGCCGAGATTTGCATATGCTTGTCTTCTTATTTAAGATTCTCAAAGATCCTAACTCCCCAGTATACCTGCGTTCCCGATTTAAGTTTCTTCCCCCTCCTTCACGCTCTAGACGACCTTGCATTACTAAGACCCTTGAGCTTCCTAAAAGTAATACAATCTCCTATTTAAATTCCTTTTCTTTTAGGGCTGCACAGCTGTGGAATGAACTTCCGTCCAATATTCAGGAATCTCCGACCATCTTCTCGTTTAAGTCTAAAGTCAAAGATCATTTTCTCAAACAGAAATCTCAAACTTAATGAATCATTCTCACGAAGTACCTTGTTTCTTATTAGTATTTATTTATCAGGCTTATATGTATGTTATGTATATTTAGATAGGTATTGTATTTATCTATGTATATTTATGCAAGTTTATTTATGTAGGTATATGTATTGTATAATGTGTATAGTGTGATATATATATACAACTATTATTTATTAAGTCTATTTCCTATAACAGTAGTAATAAATTATTTTTAGTTTAATTTTTATTGCACTTTCTGTTTCCCGCTAAGTTTTGAATCTCCGACACCACCTAGGTTGGCTGGAAGAGATCTCTTTTAGAGATAAGCCCACCTTTGCTTACTATGTATTTGACTATATGTTTTAAACTGTATGATGCAATAAAGAGTATATTAAATAGTTGCATTCCAATAATTATACATGTCAAATTCTCTAAGTCAATAGTCTTTTCTTCATTATGTCAACACAGTTATTAATTTATAATAACAATTCATTTAAACTATAACAACACTTACTTATTAACCAGTCCCGTAACTTTTTAGTCATTAATTTTATAGGTCCGTGCTTGAATTTATTTCGAATTCTGTTGTATACCTGAATACACATGTTAAAACAGCTTTTCTGGTACACCGAGGTTTTTGGTGCAAAGTCCAAAACAAATCTATCACCATCTCTAGTGTTTCGAGGATATACCTAGCAGGGACTGTGAGTAAACCTAAACTGACTAAAAAGTGGCCGACAACTATCAAAGGGACCTTTGCCACATATGCCAGCCAGCTCTAATGCATTTCTTTTGGGCAATGAAAACTCTTTGAATTTCTGTACTCACAGACCTGAAAAAGAGGTATGTTTTTCAGGTCCGTGGTCTGTACTATTGCCCTACAGAGGAATCCCGTAATTTATAACAGACGCTACATAACCGTAAACGTAAACAAATCTATTAATTGTATTACATACCTTGTCAACATGACTAGTAAAATTTTGACTTTCGTTTAATACTATTCCCAGGAATGCGATTCTGTCAGCCTTTTCAATGGTTAGTGAAGCGAGACCAATCATTCATCTATGGTTAAATCTATATTATACATACATACGGAGCAACAAGATTCTGCCGGATAGAAGGAACCCATTTTATCAGGTCTTTGAGTTTGTGATGGAGATGTAGATTGAAACGACTCATTAAGTTGTAAATAAAATGTAATTAAATAAGTACAAATAATATTTGAAAATACAAAAAGAATATTAATATTATAACTATAAATACCAGTTCTCCTTATCTTATAAACTCTATCTTAAAATAACACATAAATTAAATACATATATTCGATTCGTGATAAATTTTTCAAAACTATCTAATTTAGGCAACAATTCCAACCTTTTATAGATATTTTCAATTATATTATTTATTGTACTAGTAGCAGGTGTCCGTGTTTTCGTCTGCTTTGAAAATTGGGTTCCCTTACCATCTTGTATCCCCCTTTTCACCCTCTTTAAATTTTTATTCGCTAGATAAAGTAGCGTATAACCTTCTCCACGTGCAAGTGTAACAAACAAACTTATTTTCGCATTTTTAAGTTAGGATTTAAAAGGCAATTTTCGTCCGACACAAAGTGAAGCCACAATAGTTTGCTTTTGTCTTATTACCTTGGTAATTTACCATAAGCACATCATTTATGTTAATATGTTGGTACGTCTTGTGTTTTAAACAAGTGAAAGGTTAAACATAGAGTTTCCATCCGTTTCAGGGTGGAAGTCTGTCTACAATGCACAAAGCGCCTGATTTTTTAAGAAAAACGCCTGTTTATAGTAAATAGAAACTCAAAGCCAACTAAATAAATTAATCTAAATCTAAATATTATCCTTCGTTGAATGCAAATAAAGCGTCCCGCAAATTCGTGTTTTTTCCATTAATGCATTGCGTGGACTACGCTCCATCTACACTCACCGCGCAAGCACGGTACGTGGGTGTCGTGGCTTCGTGAGCGACGCGCGAAATTCACAAATGGCTGTCTCACCAGTCTAATTCGTTAAATGCCAGTCAAATACGGCAAATGCTTGTCAGATGGTAACCCTAGTTGTACTCCACCCGGAGTATTAAGTGATGATGTACGTTGTTTTTTCAGTTTCGTGTACCTACAAAACCCAATATATTTTGGTACCTAACCAATACCTATATTTTGGTAACCAAAATATAATGGGTAACTAAAATATATCGGTAACCAAAATATTTTGGGTTGTGTATCTCTGTATCTGTAGGCTGCCCTTGGTGGACTTCGCCTATCACGTCGTGCTTCGGTGTTGCGATTATAAAATGCATTAATCCATCACAAAACTAAGGCACTCGGTAGGGTTTTGTTTAAGTTTTTCAGTTACCTACCCGAATCACACAAAATTTTAGGTCATCGCTCTCAGCTTTCGGCACTTACATACATACTAGTATACACAATATTAGGTACAACCAAAACCTGTAATAACCCTTATCACAAGCCTTAAGCCCTGTGCATATTAACGAGTCGTGGCGCGTCGGTTTCATACATTTATTTTAGAGAGCGAGAGGGGTTAAAATTAAAGTTCGTAAATAAGTGCATTAGCACAGATCACTGGTGTTAGCGTGTTCAGAATTAAAAATCGACCGGAGATTCAATTGTTTTTTAATTTCTCTCGTCGCAGCTGAGACGCGTAGTTTTCAAAGTTAAAATAAATGTATGGGTGTACGGTGTACCTATACTACTATGCAAGGCGTGATTTTTGGCAATTTAATGTAAGCGTAACTTAATAAGTTACGTTACTCAATAACAATAGTAATATTAGAACTTATACATAAAATTAACCTTACACTGGTCTCGATTCTGGTATCGTGATTCTCTAAACCTAAATTTAAATTTGACAACAGTGGTGTCGATTCTGGCGTGATTCTCTAAACTTAAAACTAAATTTAACATCAGTTTTCCTTTTCATTCTGTATAGTGAATGACAAAAATGCACTGTTGTCAAATTTAAGTTTAGCTTTAGAGAATCATGTCAGAATGGACACCAGTGTATCCTTGTCATTCTCTATACAGAGTGAAAAAGAGAGACTAATGTTAAATTTAACATCAGTCTCTCCTTTTCATTCTGTATAGAGAATGACAGGGATGCACTGTTGTCAAATTTAAGTTTAGCTTTAGAGAATCAAGCCAGAATTGACATCACTAATTGTCTTAATATTAATGAATTTAATGATCAGATTGGATGTTTGCTATGAATAATATCTTTTAACTTCAGACAGTATTGACTCGTATGAAGATTCATCTATGATTATAAATCTTTTTGCACGTCTACTAAAAAAATATATATCGCCAGTGTAAATGTCAAACCATAACGCATGTATATGCAAATCATGCTTCTGTAATCGCTTTTTCAACATCCCATATGATGCTACGTTTTGCAATTGTTGAAGAGTGTTTACCTAAAAACACATTAAAATGATATAAATAGAATCGACGTATGTTACTCACATAAATGAATAAGGTAGATAAGAAGGATTACTTGAGATAATTTATCTTCTATACAAAATTGATTTTCTGGGTCTATGTACGCTACAAATTTACGTTGGGGTGTTTCAGCAGTAAAAAGCATCGGTTTTGTGAAATCTCCATTCATCTCAATAAATTTTTCCAATGACGATTGTCCGTGTGTACATAACCATGACTTTAATGGAGATATTCTTCTTTGCTCCTGTAATAAGTCCAAGTGCATTTTAATCGCTAGGGTATGGAGAAATAGACTTATCTATAATGCGTTATTATTATTAAAAGACGTGTAAAAATAAAAACCACTTACATACTTTAAATACATATATAATTTAAAATATAAAGAATATAAGGTGATGATCATGTCCCCTTAAATAAAAAAAGAATGAAAATGCTACGTACAGTCCGTACGTAACATTTTCATTCTTTTATTTATTTATTTTATGTGTCCATTGATATTACAAGGAGAAAGGCAGCTCGTTCGATCTGCCGTTGACTGCTTAAAGGACTTTATGGATAGGTAAAGCCCTTTAAGGATTATCCATCCGTTCTATCCGTACGAGCACGGATGGATAATCCTTAGAGGGCTTTACCTGAATTCTGTTGCATTACAAGAATTTTTAAACTATTCACATTATAACGGTTAAATCATCAATTTCTTTGAGTGTACAAAAGTTAAATGAGGGCTAAAAGTACTTTCTTACTAGTAAGAAAAAGTAACTCACTTTATTCGATTCTTCTTTACTTTTCAGTTTATAAAGAAGATTCATTGCTTTACAGTCACTGTGGCCGCACACTATAATGTGCCTTATATCATTTATGACGCAAGCCAGTTCCAAACCTGCCGGCTCACAGCTAGTCATTTCATCCATAAAATGTTGTGAATGAGGTAAAAGATTGCCTGCATTACGTACTGTAATAAAAATAAAAAATAAATCGATGGCTAAAAGGCACGATATAAATAAAATAATTAATAAATAAATATTTCCAACACTCACACCAATTAGCCTAGCCCCTAAGTAAGCACTGTAAGGCTTGTGTTATGGGATACTAGAGAAATGGATAGAATACATAAACTGTACATATTTATTTATATAGAAATACATATTAAACATCCATGATGGGAGTACAAATGTTCGTATTCATCACACCAACATCTGCCCCCACCGGGATTCGAACCCGGAACCTCTCGAGTCGGCGACACCATGAAACCCGGCGTACTAACCACTCGGGGATGGAAGTCGCCAAATAAATGGACATCCTACTATCTTTCTAATAGTTCCTATTAATGGGTATTATTTAATGTGAACATTTATTTGTTACTAAATCATGCAAAAAGTACTGAACAGAATTGGATGTTTGCTACACATATAGTTATAACCTGGATTGAGACAAAGGATACCAACTTTTTATCCCGGAAAAATGTTAGGTCGCGGGCGGCCACTAGTCCTACTTAATCTTATTAACATTATGAATGTGAAAGTTTGTTTGTTACTGAATCACGCTAAAACGGCTGAACGGATTTGGATGACATTTGACACACATATAATTTATTATCTGTCGACCTAGGTAGCTTTCCAATTACAGCATTATAGCATATTATGCGGCATAATGCCTAACGTTGAGTGTTCCAACTACAACAACGCTTCGCACAATTGAGCACTCTCAAAAGTAATGCTTTCGTGTGATGCGTGCGATTGTACCAACTCAGAGACAGAAAATTAACAAGTGTTTTTTCTTTAAGTTGGCATTGATCGAAATGTTTTATTTATATGTCATCGTTAGTAATAATATTTATTGTTGAAAAATTATTAAAACTTTCGTTTCATCATAGTTTTTTTTTAAATAATTAAAGTTATTTCAAACTGTGTTAAAAAATAAATATAAATAAGGATGAAGGTACAAACATTGACTTTTTTTTTCAATACTGAACTTAGCGCACTCTGCTGGTGCATTTGAAAACTAATTCACGTTCCAATTAAGCATCAGCATAATTCGGCATTGTGCGGCACTGAGTCGCATTATGCTCTGTAATTGGAAAGCAACCCTATTCACTAAGACTTTTTGACAGATGGAAGTGATAATCACCGAGCTTTTAACTGATCCACTACTGGTTTATTTTAATGCCACTAAGATACTTCTCCCGAAAAGCATCGATTGTTATGCAATTTTCTCTTTAGTTATACACTGTCAATGTCAAAAAAGTTAGCGACTAAGTGGGCTGGATTAAGATATAGGAACTTTTTATTCCGAGATAAAACTTGGTGTTCCTGAGGGATTATTCAAAACTAAAGTTAACGTGGAAGAAGTCACGAGCGGTCCTTAGTAAGTTCGGTATATATAATATTGATATATTTAATATAATATAGTATAATATAATTATGTAGGTACTATACAAACAATAAATAAAAAATATACTTATTGTTTTTGTAGTGATATTTGTGAAGTACTCCCATAATACCTGAGCCCCCTATGTAATTAAATTTGACAACAGTGTATCCTTGTCATTCTCTATACAGTATGAAAAGGAGAGACTGATGTAACTTTAGTTTTAAGTTTAGAGAATCAGGCCGGAATCTACATCAGTAGCCGATTCTCAGACCTAATGAATATGCCTATAAAATATTATACAAATCGGTCGAGTATGGTAACTGACATTGTGACACGTGTTTTATTTAAAAGATAGCACTATGAATAATAGCAAAATAATCTGATTCCTCGAAATTTAAAATTTATACCTACCCAAGTTAACGACTTGACCAAGGTCTATTAAATATTTAGCTACCAGTATCTTATCAATGTGAAAAAATTGCAGAATTACCGAATCGAGAGCGGCTATTTAGTGGCGGGCGACTAGCGGTGAACTCGTGTTGGTATAATGGTATCGATTCTGGCGTGATTCTCTAAAGCTTAACTTAAATTTGACAACAGTGTATCCCTGTCATTCTTTATACAGAATGAAAAGGACAAATTGTTGTCAAATTTAAGTTTAGCTTTAGAGAATCGTGCCAAAATCGATACCAATAGCTATTTACAGAGTTTAATTTGTTTTTGCTATAATTAAATAATAATAAACAAATAAATTAAGAGTATTTCTTTGCACCGTACCGAGATGCTAAAAAGAAAAAAATATTACAAACCAACAAACATATCTCCAACACTAGTTTCTGTAAATCTAGTTGGTATCATTCTACTGTCCATGCACGTATAGAAGACTGCTTTAGGCTAAAATTATAAAGACAAAAATTAAGAATAATATTACACACTATGGACAAAATTAGCAAAATCATGTGTAACTGTTACACACATTACCATGCACAAGGAACTTACGAAAGTAAAAAACGAAGAAAAAGAACAGAGATTAGTAAAAATTATAGTGCTGGAATATTTTTATCACTTTGTGACCATGACTTTTTTATTTTCCCAGAAATTTAGACATTAGAAGTGGCAATTTCTTTAAGAGTCTTCTTATCTTCATATGGCAATCCCCTTCTATTAGCAATTTTTCTAAAGGCATAAATGCAATTCTAAAATGTTGATATTTTCTCTATATTTTGAAAGTTCTCGAGTAAAAAACTCGCCTACTTCATCTATCTGTTCTAGCATGGCACAGTACTTTTTTGCCTACTAGTTTTATGGTATGTTTTACAGTCTATTTGAGAGTAAGGTATAATATTTATTCATAATAATAAACATATTTCCTGTTTTTGTTCTAGTTGCCAATAAATATGCTGAATTATACCGAGTTTTTTTGGGTAAATTATTATTATTTCCTTTGGTTAATCACGATTCCATGGCTATATTCGGCTTCTTTTCAATAATTATCTAAGAACAAACTGATAAATTGTATTAAAGTAACAATGACAAACCAATCAAATCTATGAAAACGTCAACCACAAGTAATGTTTTGAACGGCATGACGGACGCCAGTCTTTCTAAGTGGTGTTTACCGTGACGTGACCTAATGCCAATTTTTTACGAATTATTTTTCTAAAAATAATAATAATCTTTAATATACAATTATCATGATAAACAGCTTGTTAGTGGACACAAGCCTATTACCACCGTAGCTTACCGTAGCCTATCGGTATTAACTCACGATTTAGTAGACTACGATAGAATCAACTCTAAAATTTTTTTCTTTATGCTACACTGGTGTAGCTCAGTGTGGATAGACAGAATGGAAAAGTTTTTCAACTCCAGAACTTAAAAACAACTTGTACATTTTAATTTTCATAAAAAAAAAATATAGTCATCCTAATAGAAAGTGATAAAAAGCCTCCTTTCTATATTTCACGCTCGTCACGTTTTATCATATTCATTAGATGTTGTCTGTGGCAGGACATAATAGCTGACAGATTTCCCCTTTGCCTTCCCAGAATGGGAAAAGAAAAAAAAAATTAGCTGACCCTGACAAGTGACAGATAATCTTAGTAATCTGTGGACAGCGTCACTGTTATCGTCAGGCTGTCAAGTCTATGTCAAAAATGTGAAATTATTTTTAAGTATTTTTAAATAGCTAAACGAAAAGTTCTAGCATTTATAGTAAAAGAGGTTACTTAAGTGACGGTATTGATAAGCACCAAGAATTTAAATCGTAAAGAAAAACACGGAAAGGTTAGTCATTTGGTGACTTACCGTTGGATTATCTTTTACTGCTTGAAATTGTTTGACCATGCTTGCGCGGTCCAAAACACGATATCTCATTATGCCTCGTAGTATTCTATCCATTTTTTATGAGTACTTGATCCACATTAGCAATTTACTTATTAAATTTATCACTGTGCACAACAAAAGAGTCACCTATGAAAAGCAGTCTATTTAGGGCAGTTTTGTTGCAATTGACATTTCTGACCTTGAATAACGGAGCTTATCGTGAACGAGTTGAGCCGATGTGGGTATAAGGGTCACCATTTACATTTTATTATACAATACTTTTTGTTTCAGTTAATTATCTTTATCTAATGTTTTTGATAGTGGAGATTGTAATCATAATATGATTGCTGATAAAAATGACAATTAGAAGTTGTGTTATCCTAAACTGATAAGAATATTTTGTACTTATTAGAATAATGTCAGAAATGTTATTGTACATTGTTCCACAAATTATTGTTTTCAGATGAATGCTGAGAGAGTTATTGGTGATGGTGCTCAAAGGAATGCTGGGCCAGTTCCAGTAACATTGCCTTTGAATCACCGATTTGTTCAGCCTGAGAAAGCTGTCAAGTCTATCACTGATATGGCGATCTGGGAGAAATCAGAGGCATACATGGAATACACTGGTTTTATAGCAACATTAAATGAAGCTATTAAAGGAAAACCATTGTCTGTAGATTGCAACGTTTCTGAAAATGTTGTTAAAATAATGAATATGCTTGAAAAAATTTATAAGTTAATTGATGAGTTTCCTCCCATTGAACAACCACAAAGGTTTGGAAACACAGCATTTAGAGATTGGTTAGCTGAAGTGAAAAACAACAGTACATTAATTTTACAAGAAACATTGGATCCTAAGCTTCATCTAGCCATACCTGAAGTAAAAGTGTATTTAGAGGAAAGTTTTGGGAATGCTACTAGAATTGATTATGGCACTGGACATGAAATTTCTTTTGTCATGTTTTTATGTTGCTTATATAAAATAGGAGCGTTACAATCTGAAGATAATGTTGCTACTGTATTCATGATATTTAATAAATACATCAATATAGCAAGAAAGTTGCAAAAAACATATACAATGGAACCAGCAGGAAGTCATGGTGTTTGGAGTCTAGATGATTATCAATTTATACCATTCATTTGGGGAAGTTCACAGTTGGTTGACCAACCTAAAATCTATCCACCAGTGAAATTTCTTGAAGATGAGATTATTGACAAATATGCAAATGAATATATATTTCTATCATGTATAAAATATATTAAAGAAGTAAAAACTGGCCCCTTTGCAGAACATTCTAATCAGTTGTGGAGCATAAGTGCTGTAGGTTCATGGCTAAAAATCAATCAAGGTCTTATTAAGATGTATAAAAAAGAGGTACTCAATAAATTTCCAGTAATTCAACATGTTCTTTTTGGATCTCTTCTCCCCATACGTAGATTTCCTATTACTCATTAATTTTTTATCAGTGTGACATTTCCTAAACCTAGTTTTTTTGGAAATCAGTATTATAAATATTGTGCAAATTGTTTTTTTAGGGGTCATTACAAAAAAAGTAAATGTGATATTTGTCTAAAATTATTTAACATCTTTTTAATATACTAACAGAGGTTTATTTATTTTGTAATAATTATATTGTGTTATCACTAAAATAAGATAAAGAAAATGTCAGATACATATTTTATGTTTGTATTGCAACTGTGAATTACTTATCAATAAAGTCGGCTCTGATTGGTTGTTAAGTAATGAATATTGGAGAAGAAAATTAATTCACTAATTTCTGTGTTGACACAAATTTAAAGCATTTATTTGAAAACTCCTTTTATTGAATGCAATAAAACAGATAAATAAATTATTGTTTTATTCAAGTTTAAGCTGCATTTAATTTATCCTAGTTTGCCTTAATTATTCTAAGGCGCCTACCTCTGGATTGGCTCGTGCTCGTATTGCTTTTGTTTCTATCGAACCGGTACCATTCAACAGCAAGGAACAAGCTACTTTAACAGTCGGGACCCACTGTTGAAAAATATTATGTATTCTTGAATATCTAATGGGTCCCGACTGTTAAAGTAGCTTGTTCCTTATTAACAAAATTATAGACTACTGGACTTGTTTTTTTCTTTTCAGTTTTTATTTGAAGTATAATAATTAAGCAGTCGGGTTTTTTGATTTTTTAAATTTACCTTTTTTTTTTAAATCTTTTTCATCATTAAATACTTATCTTATCCTAACTATCTATACTAATATTATAAAGAGGCAAGATTTGTATGTTTGTAACAAATAATCTTTCAAAGTACTGAACCGGTTTCAAATATTAATTCATCATAAGGTAGCTACATTATATAATATAACATTTTTCTTTATTTAAATACATTTTGTCCGAGTAACATAGGCTATATTTTATCCCGATAAATAAATTTCGCCCGTACAACGCCCGGGTGGATGACTAGTAAGTATAATATAATATTATAGATGCGAAAGTGAGTTTGTTTGTTGCGCTTCCGTGCCCTAATAGCTAAATCGAATATAATGAATTCCCATATAGAAGTAGATGGGAACTTGGTTCTTAGCTACAACATCGCAATACTTATAGGCGTAGGGTGATGAAAGGGGTGATTTACCTATAAAAATCTACATTATTTACTTTGAATTTTGCAGAATTATTACAAAACCAATATTATCGCGAGCTGATTAATAAATACAGGGGTTCCAATAAGTATGTACTTACTAGCGAAAAATGGGTTATTTTTCATTATATTAAGTAAACCTTTTTTGTAACAAAAAGTAATATCGTTAAAAAATGAAAAACAGTAAAATTCTGAGTTTTTCATTAAAATTCAATAATCATAAATACCTATTATGATAATATATTTTTCATCATTTAATAAGAAGGAACTGTATCACAGTTTTATTGTTAGTACTTCGTTTAGGATCAGATACTGCGAATACCCCGTTTTTTTTTCTTTTACATAGTACACCGCGCTATCACTTTGTCATCGTTGTAACTTTTTAAATATTTGGCGAAATGACATAGTGTAAAACGCAAAGTTTATCGTCTTTAAATATCAAAAGCGATAAAAGTATTTGTTTTGATAAAAAATGATTTGTTAATACAAAATGTGCATTTTGGAAATAGATGTCAAATAATATTATAGTTTTGATTCACTATTTTAGCGGTAATGACTTACACATTAAAAATAGATATATGGTGTCACGGACTTTTTTTAGAACTATTTAAGAGATACATTGGTGTCAATTCTGGCGTGATTCTCTAAACTTAAAACTAAATTTAACATCAGTCTCTCCTTTTCATTCTGTATAGAGAATGACAAGGATATACTGCTGTCAAATTTAAGTTTAGGTTTAGAGAATCATGCTAGAATCGACATCATTTTCACTCTACATTATATTCATGTAACTTTTATTGTTTTTGCAGTGCAGGCCAAAATGGCTCGCAGATGGGAGATTTTTTCCGTCTCACGTGACACCTTATTGTTATATATTGGCCAATTCACTCAATAACTACATAAATTATTATATATAATATGTAATTATCATATATGAGCTATATTACTGTTAAGTTTCATTAAAATCCATTCAGTATTTTTAGGTGAAAGAGTAACAAAGATCCATACAAACGTAAGATTGAAATTAAAAGCGCAAGTGGTTAATATACAACTTTAAAGCGTTGTAGATCCTAAACAATCACATAAAATGAAAAATAGTGTTAGGAACCTAAACATGATTTTTGATTATCTAGACGGTGATACCCCACTCGACATATTTTGTCAACTTATTTTTTTTACTTCGTCACAATATGGCGACTATTTTTGCCCATATTGAATTTTGATTACTATGATATCTTTAGTAGCACTCCCATAATTGAGACGAATCGATTGATGTATGAATCATCAAAATCGGTCCAGGCGTTTGGTCTCTAGAGTGCCACAAAGGAACAAACATACATATAAAGACTGTTAAACACATAACCCTGTCTGCGCGTCGCGCTTCGCGCTCTTGCATTGCGCAGCCGGGTAAAAAGGGTAGATACGGCACTAGCCTCACAAAAGTGATCCGCATGAATTGTGGTCCACGACCCTAATCGCTTTAGGCACAACTTGGCATGCAAACGACGTACATGTAAACGCCAAAAAGAAATATTGCTAATATTTTGTGTTTGTATGATAATACAATGCCTAAGTGTGTTTTTCAAAAGTGCTCAAATTGCTCATAACTAAAAATAACACCCACAGCATCACTTTGCATTCGTAAGGCCGTATACAGAAAGAAAGCCGATCAGCGCCTATTGGCGCTATCCTTTTTATATGGACCGGCGCCGACACGCGCTGGTCCGAATAATAAATAATTTGTATTTGAATTATTATCCTTACATTAAATCAATCTAAGTTATAATCTTTTTATAAATCTAATAACTTTATCTTTTACTAAGTGCTAAAATTATTTGTTTCGTACTTACCGAATGGTGACAACAAGTCTTTCTTCTGGAAGGATTGGTTGTTTATGCCAATTGCCCCAATTTTTCATCAAACGGTTTTTTTTCACTAAATCCAAAATGTAATAAAATGTTTCTTGAATCATTCTTGTATATGTATAAAATCTTTGTTCATCAAATTTAATTTTTTTTACAAATAAATGATGGTATTCTCCGAAACGTTTCCTTTCTCTATTTATAGGATGTATAGCTGTTTTTTGCATTTTTAAATAAACATTTTCTAACAAAACCAAATCATCGTCCGATGAGTCCGACATTTTGCTTGATCTGCTTTAATCGGCTTCCTTTATGTAGGAAGGATCGGCGCCGATAAGCGCCGATCTTTCGGCGCCTGTTGGCGCTGATCCTTTTTCTATGGACCGGCGCCGATAAGCGCCGACACGCGCTGGTCCGAATAATAAATAATTTGTAATTGAATTATTATCCTTAGATTAAATCAATCTAAGTTATAATCACACTAATATTATAAAGGCGATAGTTTGTGACTATGTGAGTGTGTATGTTTGTTACTTCTTCACGTCTAAACGGCCGGAGCGATTTTAATAAAATTTAGTATGGAGTTAGCTGACACCCTAGATTAACACATAGGCTACTTCTATCCCGAAAAGTGTTAGGTTCCAGAGGGATTTACAAAGAAACTAAGTTAACGCAGACGAAGTCTAATAACTTTATCTTTTATTAACTAAGCGCTAAAATTATTTGTTTCGTACTTACCGAATGGTGACAACAAGTCTTTCTTCTGGAAGGATTGGTTGTTTATGCCAATTGCACCAATTTTTCATCAAACGGTTTTTCACTAAATCCAAAATGTAATAAAATGTTTCTTGAATCATTCTTGTATATGTATAAAATCTTTGTTCATCAAATTTAATTTTTTTTACAAATAAATGATGGTATTCTCCGAAACGTTTCCTTTCTCTATTTATAGGATGTATAGCTTTTTTTCGCATTTTTAAATACACATTTTCTAACAAAACCAGATCATCGTCCGATGAGTCCGACATTTTGCTTGATCTGCTTTAATCGGCTTCCTTTATGTAGGAAGGATCGGCGCCGATAAGCGCGGCTTTCGGCTTTCTTTCTGTATACGGCCTAAGGGTACGGCCAGATTGCACTCCTGATTTAGATTCAGATTCAGACTCAGAAAACAAAGCGCGAGAAAAAGCAGGCAACCTGCTTAGACTACACTGTTTATTTCTCGCGCTTGTTTTCAGAATCTGAATCTGACTCTGAATCTGAGTGCACTCTGGCCGCACCCTAAGTATTATAAAATATATTTTTCATAAAAATTGCTGTTTGTTTTGAATCTTATTCGGTAGTGACGTCGAGTACTGGTCGCGTGATTGGTCGGTAGTGCAGTGACGCGGATCACGCCGTCTCGTTCGCACTGCCGTTGAAACTTAACGTGCTGTTTCGTTCGGGTCGGTAATGCAGTGACGCGGATCTCGCCGTCCGGTTCGCGCTGCCTGCTATCATAGTTTTTGTTTGATGCAAGTATGAGCGTACCGTATCTACCCTTTTTGTTTTAATCTAAGGTTAGTAGTTCGGGAGCCACCAATCCTGAAAACTCCGTGATCACGGATTCTAATATTTTTAATAAAAAATAAAAGTTAACGTTTAGACGAACAAGATTTGCTTGGTTTGCGTGGATTTGATTGGCCGTAAATTTGCTTCAAATGCGTTAAATTAACAAATACTGATTAGATATCTGATGAAAAAACGACGGTTTACGTACTATACATATTTATTTCGCATTTTTTCACGGAGCTCTGCGGCATCTTGACTATTCGACGGTCCGCGCGTGACTGTGAACCAAGAAGTGCTTGAGTAGAGTTCTTGACTGGGACACATTTTGAGCGCTCGTGGTGTATCTAGGGAATTTAATATCGTTGACGTTCACCCACTAGTTTTTATACCTATATGCAGGGTGTGGTGGAGTTGTCCACCTTTAAGAGCCCTTTCACATTTTTTGCAATAAATTCCAATTTTTGAGCGCCTCGTTTACCCCCTTAGAAGAGATTTTGACTATTTCCAATAGAAGTAAAAAGTAGATTTATTCTTCCTATTGAAAGTTAATATAGAATATTTGCAAATACT